AATGTACAGTCAGTATAAAATAATTTTGTGCTTGGTTGGCAAATGAAAAATGATGCATGTTGTATTTATCTAACCAAGCCTGAATGTATTCATACTACAAGCCTTAAAAAAAATCTCAAGAGGTGGAAAAAAAGATACACCCTTGGGTACGTGCATTTTAACTTGTACAATAGTATTTACTTGTATTTCACTTTCGGTTTATTTTTAGTTAGCCATAACTGGCTGGAATTGCTGGTTAGAATACTGCATGTTGTTTAAACTAAAATTCAAGCCATCCACAAAAGACTTCTCATTTAGACCTCCATAGGCTGCAAACATATCAAAGGCATTACTGTACTGAAGAGGACTGAGGTTAAGGGGGCTGTCACCAGGAAAGATGCTACCGGTACTACCTTGACCCTGCATGTTGGGGAAAATGAACTCCTTTGCGTTAGGAGAAAGGGCAGAAGTCTTCTGCTGTTGCTGTTGCTGCTGCTGCTGACTGCCTAAGCCAAGCCCGTAGAGAGAGTGCATGGAGGAGGAAAGGGCTTTCTGCTTCAACAGGTCATTGACATTCAAGCCAAGGTTGGTGGGAGAGGTGCGGGCGACCTTGTTGCCACGGCCGCTATTCTTCATTTTGGTCGAGCCAAACTTGGTGGCAGCAAATGTGGCAGTGGTGAAGGTTAAAGGCTGGGTGGAGCGGGGCATGAAAGTTGGGCTCACAGCAGCAGAGTGGCCAAAGGGAGGAGAAGGAGAACTAGACACTGAAGATGCTGGGTCACTAATTGGCATGAACACCTGGGCCTCTGGGTTAAAGCTGTTCTTGATTTCCTTATCCAACTCACATCCATTTTCATTATCATCCACATAAAGCACTTTCACTGGTCCCTTTTCACCGATTTGGTATGAAACCTCAAACGGGTCAATCCAAACACTAAGATCCTGAGGCAAGTTGCCACGAACATCATCAATGTCCAAACCACTCTCTTTGGATGCTTGTTCTATGACTGGGTCCACTTTTTCCCCTATATGTATACATCTAAACCCTGATCCTTTGTATGGCTTTTCTGGATACCAGTGCCCTTCATACTTCTTCTTAAGAAGTCTTTCAAGCTCTTCACCAAAAATGTTGACACGTCGTCTGGGAAGCTTATTGTACAAATATGAAATAATAAAATTGAGTGCTACTTGGATTTCAAGCTGCATAGCTGCTATGCCACAAAGTTATAAGTCTGCTTCAAAACCCGAAGAAGAATGCCTTCAAGATGCCACAGGGAACCAAAATTTCATTCAAAGTGCTGATCCTAGTTGATTATTATCCTTCACCTTGAGTGCTCTTGTTCCTTTAAGAAAAAACAAAAGCAAACACATCCAAATAAGGAAAGCATAAGATCAAGCTCTGAGGCCTATTCTTTTAGCCTCGCCTTCTGCATAAAATAGGCTACTTTAAGTCAAAAAACATGCATTGAACTGTTTATGCTAAGGCCTGCGGAAGGCAAGGATGTCAACTACATTCAGGATGACTTACAGACAATGCTGCGGAAGATGCACTAGGCGAGTGTTTACATATACAGCATGGGGCATTTCAGAATCACATGAGCTCGCTGTCGAGCTATTCACAGAGCAGCAAGGATAATGTTTAAGACATCACAGAACTGCCAGGCCTGTCAAGGGTTCAATTACCAACCCGTGTTTGGATGATTTATACTACTCAGCTGCAAAATTTAGCACCAGGCTATTAGTATAACCTGAAAGGTCTTAGTCCAAGGGTCGTTTATCATTTTAAAGTTTGCAAACATAGTGGTTGTACTGTTAAGCTGCAGAATTGTAAGAAGGTTAACAATTGCTTTAGAAGATTTCACCCAAACAACTGAAATTATGCAACATTTTTAAGTCCAAGCAAATCATCTATAAAACGTGTGCTGGTGAAATCATGGTAACTGAAGAGAAAATGTCCGCTGCACATAGACAAGAACTCTTCCTGGAATAGCTACAATAACGCAGTCAATGCATACAAAATAGATGCACGGATCCTGTCGTAAGGGTGGCAGTGACTGCAAAACGATTACAATAAACCGATTCACAAATAATTCCCTTTTTACGAATTATTCTGTATTATGAGATGTAATATATTAATATATACTAAATTGATATATTGCACTGCCTGTAGTTCAGATTAGAAAGTTACTAGGGCTAACAAGGCTTCTGCAAGCCTCAAACCCGACTGCTTTTCTCCACCACGACTCCATTTTATATTTAATATAAAATATGGTTGCCACTCCTTCACAAAGGACAAAAGAGAAATTAGCTAGCTTAAGTTAAAAAAGAGACAAAATTCAAAGATGAGCACACATACTGTTAACGATAATCCTGCAGTACCTTTGCATAAAGGTATTCATCCAGAAGAGACACCTTTGTGTTCAAAAAGTTCCACTGAACCTATATATATGTATATATATTTGGCTCAAGTTAAACGCCCAATGAAAATTTCAATTAACAGCGTGTGTTTTTCTGCACTGCATCACTAGGAACAAAATTAGTGTAGCTGTCACTAAAGATTAGAGAAATCAAAGTCAGTATCAAAATCCCTTAACAATATGGATGCAATGCTTGCTTTATTTCTTGCTCCAAATAATCTCCTTTTAAAGTCTGGAACCCTATTTCCCAGCCACTTGTGTTCTCCCCAACATGGTATGGGAATAGTTTGAAAGCCTGTACGATAAGGCGACCTTTAAACGTTTGCTGGATCAGCACTGGGTGTGGATAAGGAAAAGATCAAGGGCAAACAGAAGATATTTACAAAAGGGACACAATCAGTACAGAAAAATCTGACTGGGTGGTTAAAAGGGGCATTTAAAAATGATTTATTAATCCATCTGGTTTGTTTCCCTTCCCCCATGTCCTTTAAGGCAAAAATGATTCTTTCAAGGTGCACCGGGCAGACGCTATATATTTTCATAAGCCCTGAAACTGATCCATGGTGCAAACAGCTGATCAAACAAATCAGTGTGATTATTTCAAAGTCCTTTTCTGATGTAAAGAGGACGGTATTTCTCAGGGACCCAAGGCCACGAGCCCCCCAGCAGCAGAGCACCGGCAGGAGCCTGAAGCAGTGAGCGGAGTTACATAACCAGGCAGTCGGGTCTCATTAGCTTTCTGCTCACAGCCCTGGGAGCTCCGGCAACAGCAGGAGGAGGAGGAAGAGCATTTTCTGAGCCCGTAAGAAAGAAAATGAACAAGAGGAAGGCAGATAACTGGAAAGAGGAGGGGGGGACGGACTGCAAGGCCCTTATTCTCAGCACACAGGCCCAGCGACACCCCTTTGGGCCCCCCCGCGCGAGGCAGGGTCCTGGAGGACGGTTGCCAGCGCTGCCCGGAGAGGCCCAGCGCAGCAGCAGCTATTAGTCAGCCGGCAACGCTCACTCCTCCCAGCCCGAGCGCGTCCAGGGACCGCCTTGGGAGGGACCCTCTGGCTGCCCGGCTCCCCCGGGCCGTGCCCTCCCCACAGCCCCCTTTCTGTGGGGCTGCCGGCCGCCCCCTCACCCTCCTCCCCACCGGCTTCCGTGCCGCTGCAGCCCCCGCGGCACCCGGCCCTGCCCCTCCCCGTGGGGCCGTGCCCGCCTCAGGCCCCGTCACCTCGGGGTCGTGACCGCCTCGACACCCCTGCCTCTGGGGCCGGCCGATCGCTGCCTCAGCGGACGGGGCCTGACGGCCGCTGCCTTAGGCCCCCCGCTACTGCAGCCGGGGCCGCGCCCGCCTCACCCCCCGCCTCAGGAGCCGGGCGGCGGCTGCTTCAACCCCTCGCTCGCCTCACGGCCGGGGCCGGGCGGTGGCTGCCTCAACCCCTCGCCTCAGCGTCTGCCATCGGCCTGGGGCCCTCCCAGCGCACACGGCCGCACCGGCCTGCGCCGTCCCCCCGCCCTCAGCGAGCGGTACTCACCCGGGTGGGTGTGCGGGGGGTAGTGCAAACGATCCCGGCGGGGGTGTGAGTGCGGGGAGGGGTGGGGTGGGTGGAGATGGGGTGCGGGAGGGGCTCAGCACCCGACCCCCATCTCCGAGAGCCGGTTCCCTCGGCGAGGATGGGAGGGGATGGGAAAGGCAGAGAAAAAAAAAGAGGGAAGGGGGAAGGGTTGGAAAAAAAAAAAGGGGGGGGAGGGAAAGGGGGGAGGGCTGCGCTGCTCACACCCCCTCGGCGGGCGCGCTCTAACGCCACAGCTGCGCTGCTTCTGCTCCTGCCCCGCCGCCCTGCGCGCCCCTATATATGGCCTCCCTCGCCCCGCCCCTCCCTCGCCGGGCCCCGCCCATCAACCCCTCCCTTAACGACGCTGGTTCCCCGTCTGGCCCCGCCCACCCTCCGCCAGGCCCCGCCCACCCCTCCGCGCAGGGCCGTTTGCTGCCCTCAACCCCCCCCCCCCCCCCCCCCGTCGTGCAGGGGCCGCTCTCAACGTCAGCTCGCGCCTCACCTCACAACACCGTGGCGTCACTGACGGCGTCAAACGCTGCCCTCGCGCCCCTCACCTCCGCAGGGAGCGGGGGGAAGGCGCTGAACTACATCTCCCATGACCGCCGCTGCCGTGCGGCGAAGGGGGGGGGGCCTCGGCAACGCCAGCCGGGGCTCGGCGAGGGCACCCGCAGCCCCCCGTTGGGCGGGCTCCCCATGGCCACCCTCAGAGGAGGGGGCGCACTTCGATCCCCCCCCCCACCCCTCACGGTGGCTAAAAATACTCCCCACAGGTAGCAACGCTTGGCCGATTGGCTGCCTGCCCGCCGAGTAGCCTCCTGATTGGTCACTCTGTGTGGAGGAGGCAGACGTCACACCCCGGTTTTGGGGGGAAAAGTTACCCGCGGGTGGGGGGAGAAGCGCGGGAGCCCCCTCAGGGACCCAGTGAAGGTCCGGGGCTGTGAGGGCCGGCACCCCGCGCCCGTCCGGCCCCTGCGCCCTCGCTCTGCCAGCGAGCCCGGTGTGGGCCTCGCTTTAACCGGCCCGGCCTCGCTTTACCGGCTGAATGCACTGCGGGAGGCAGGCCAGGCAGCGCGCCGCCGCCTCCTCCCGCACCGAGAGGCTTGTGGGCTAAGAACTCAGGCGCGGTGGCGGGAGAGCCAGGCTCCTCTGCTCATTAAAACAGCACCGGTTTTGCTCTTTAAATCCACCTGCGGGTGTTCGCAGCGCCGGGGTGGGTATGGTTGGCTGCAAACCAGCGAGCAGGACCTGGTTTGGGAGCACAAACTGGGGAGGGTTTTGGTCTTTCTTCTCCTCCTCCTCCTGCTCTGTGTTTGTACAATAATAAAGCATTTTGGCATAAATGCTGCATGGGCCTCAGGAGAGATTTGGAAATGCCAGTCGGAAGAAATGCCAGCACTGTAACCCTTTGGAGCTTAGAGTATATACCAGACTGGAAGGCAGTAGCCTGAAAACCGGAATGCTAAACAGAGGAAGATAGCAGTGGGGATTTTCCACAGCTGAAAAATCCTGCTAGAAGGCCTAATTCATTGTAAACCACAAAGGTTTTATTCAGCTGTATCAATGTTGGTGCTCTCAGGATTGCAGTATTGCAAACAACGTGAAAATCTGAATCTAGAAGCAAAATAGTTACGATTTCCCCCCTGCTTTGCAGTCGTTTTTAACCATAAGGGGTTGCACAGGCCTTCAGTGGAAGTTGTGTCGTCTGTCATCACTGTGTGTCCCAAATGGAGAATAAAACGCGGAGATTATAAATTACAAGCATTGGCAACTGGGAGGCTACTGGGAATTGCTGGAGCACAGCCGGCAATCCAAATGAGAGGCTCGGAATCCTTGTTTTGAATGAGTTGTCATTAGTTTTACCACAACAGTTAAGAGACAATGGGAAATAACTCCCAAAGCAGATAAAGTGAAAAGACAAATACAGAGGGGGATGTTTATTTAAATTAGAACTTAGAAATCTCCCTGGTACAAGGAACACTGAGCAGGCTGACAGATAACATCGGCTGTGTCAGTGAACACAGTTCAACATGTCCCAGTGCTCGGTGCTGCTCTAACTGGGGTAGCAGCAGCACCACGTTTCCCTTTGAAGTGGGGAAAGCTGCATAACACCGTAGATGAATGTTTCCAGGTGAGATTTCGTGAGGAGCTTCACAAACCTAATTTGTGCTGCTGAGTTGCTAAAAATAAAGAAGGTTGTAGAAGCAGAGACTCTCTTTTAAATGGCTTTGACACTACATGAAAAGCATTAGGAACGGAATTAAATATACAGAGCTAATGCATAATCAAGGCAGCTGTGGGAGCCTTTAAAGCTGTAAAACCGGTGATGTACTTTTGTAAATGAAGCTTCTAATGCAGTCAGTGCTAACATCGCAGGCTATTGAACAAATCTGAGGTTAAATGTTAAAGACAAGCGATTGCCCTAAGAATAACCTCTTCAGGTCAGCAAGAGTCAAACCTGTTCCTAGTAGTTTCAATTTATCCTCATTTGCCTGAAAACAAAATGTATATCTGACTTTTAGACTGCAGTGACCGTTGTTGTCCACGTGTAACACATCAGCAGGTAGCCAAACTGTAATAATGTTAAATTATTAGCACCTAAACCCAGGGTCGAATCCAGGATCATTTGTATTCTCAAAACCCCAACTGGCTTTTTGATCCACAAAGAGGTCAGGATAGGACATGCTGTATTTTTCAGTCCTTTTGATTAATACACAGCAATAACCTCCCTGCTAAAAAAAATCTTTAAGGATGCAATCAATACAAAATAACAACTTCAGCAGCAAAACTTTACTCATGGTGCCAATTCTGTTCAACTGAAAGATTAATCTTGAAAGAAAGGGAAAAAAATATGTATAGTCTCATCTTTCCTGACAAACCTTGACCATTTTTCTCCTTAGCAGAGCAAATCAACAGAAGTATTTCAGAGCATGGCAGAGAGGAGTGAGAAGACTTTCTTAATCTGTGTTAAATGAGAAGGGTTTTGATCTCATCCCGTGTTCATAGCCATGTCCTGCGATGTTGGGCAGCATGACAGCCATCACCACTAACTGAACAATGGGCTCTGCAATCTGATCTCCACACTGTCAGAGAACTACGTTTCTGCAAGACCTTGTAGAGACTATAGTGCCTATACTATGGTCCAGAGACTATATACTATATATAAATACATATAGTATATAGTCTCTATAAAAGGACCTTCTTATGTCTACTAAAGCAAACTCAGTTTGGTTCCTCAGTTAATAACACTCTTTAAAAATCTAAATCAGCATTATTTACAGATCTCTAAAGCCAAAATACAGTTTATTAACCTTTAAAGTTGTTTGAAGGAATTAAAAAGAAAATTTGTACCTATCTATATCAACATGAACAAGAGTTTAAGAGCAGTAAAAAACAAGGCTCACGATTTCCACCACCTGTCTTTGTCCTTTTTATCTTCTCTGCTAAATGAACATTGCTGTTCCTTACAGAATATGTAAGATTTGTTCTGATGGTGGACATAAAGCTTTGTAACGTACATTCTGAAATATAGTACAGTCTCTTTTTTAACATTTTCCTATTTAGGAACACAGTTCCATTAGCGTGGGAGCCTGGGCTTTGAACTGGGAAAAATGGAAAGTTTTCCCCATTGTATTCATTCTTCTCTAGCCCAGTTTTATCCATTTGCTGATTTTAATGCATGTTCCTTTTTCTCCTCATCTATCAGTGTGAGCAACCAAGCATGGCTGCTCTCCAGCATGTATCTTAACAATGATTCTGAAATGCAGCAAGATTTTCTTACATTTCACTGTACCAGCTGAAGCAGTGATTTTTCTGTAATTACAGATTACAGAGGGCGTGTGTTCCCATCAGATGTCGCCCAGCTTCAGGAGCTCTCTGACCACGAAGACTTTTTTTAGATGGGAACAACAAAATTAGCGTGTGTATAACATTGGTTTGGTGGAATAAAGAATAACAAAGAACAGAATTCAGCTGAAACAGAGAAGTTCATGGGGCATTGTCATCATAGAGTCACAGAATACCAGGACTGGAAGGGACCTCCAATGTCATCTGGTCCAACCCTTAGCAGGCAAAGCATGGCCTAAATTAGATGTCCCAGCACCCTGTCCAGCTGAATCTTAACAGTGTCCAGTGCTGGGGAACCCATCACTTCCTGGGGAGATGATGCCAGTGGCTGGTTGTTCTCATTGTGAAAAATTTTCCTCTTGCATCCAGTTGGAATCTCCCCAGGAGTAACTTGTGCCCATCACCCTTCACCTTTTCCACTTGACTCCTTGGAAAAAGGGAGTCTCTGTCTTCTTCAGTCACCCTTTAAATACTGGCACATGGTGATAAGGTCCCCCCTGAACCTTCTTTTCTGCAGGCTGAACAAACCCAGCTCTTTCAGCCTTTGCTCACAAGGCTTCCCAATCCTTGGATCATCTTTGTGGCTCTTCTCTGGACCCTCTCCTGTCATCTTCTAGGAGAACCCCAACCTTGTCTCTAGTAATGTGAAGGGGACACATGGTTAGTTCCCTGCTCGCAGGAGCAGCTGGCTGGCAGGCGCTGCTGCGTGCAGCATTACATGCTAAGTTAAATGCACACATGGCAGGATGTGTGTGCCATAACTCTTGTTTGCAGACTGCTACCCCCAGGTCAAACAACCACAGTCAGCGACTTGCTGTGAGCTGCTCTGTGGCTCCACAGCAACCCAGGCCGTGCCCAGACTTGTTCTGCTGCAGTGCAGGGGGTTGAGGAATGGGATTAGTGTCCTGGGGATGTGGGAGCATGCAGGGAAAGGATGGGAAGGGGGGGAACTAGCAGTCAGATAAATGTCTGTCGGTCTTAACAGAGGTACAGTTAATCTCACTACTGAGGCAGAGAAATAGCCTGTGAAGGGGAAGGAGGGAAGTGTTGCGTTCAAAGGGGGAGAATGGAGGACAGAGGGTACAGCAGTGAGGGGCTGTGACTGTGTGGACAGTCCAGCACTATGTGTCCTGTCCTGGAAGCCCAAGAGCCCAGATAAGGATTCTCATGAGATGCTCTGGGTATGGCCTGCCCCACACAGCTCAGCTTGGCAGGCAAAGCCAAACCCCAGCACCAGCAGTTCTTCGTGCTGTTGGTGGCTCTGGTGATGCCAAGATTTGAGACACTTGGCTACCAAGAGCTGGAGCTTGTATGCCAAGGACTGAGAAGCAGTTTCCAGATCTGGGTATCTACAGCTCTGTGCAGCTAGCACACTGAAAAAAAAACCCTGCTAAGCTGGTATTGCCTTCGGATTCAGTGATGACTTCAAAAAAAAAATGAAAAAGCACAAAAAAATGGTTAAAAAAGTAAAAAGAAAAAGAAAATTAGAAAAGAAAGAAAAAAATGTTGAAAAGATGGAAAGATAAAAGAAAAGATGAAAGGAGAAAATAGAATGGGAAAGGAAGGGAAGGGAAGAAGAAGGGAAGGGAAGGGAAGGGAAGGGAAGGGAAGGGAAGGGAAGGGAAGGGAAGGGAAGGGAAGGGAAGGGAAGGGAAGGGAAGGGAAGAAGGGAAGGGAAGGGAAAAATTAAAAAAAAAGATAAAAAGGTGAAAGGATGAAAGATAAAAGATAAAGAAGAAAATAGAATGGGAGGGGAAGGGGAGGGGAAGGGAGAAAAAAGAAAATAAAAAAAATAGAAAAGATGATAAAATTATAATATTTTGCTAGGTCTATGTCAGTAAAGGGGGTCAATCTGCAGGAGCTCAGAGCTCACAAGGACACCATTCCCTTCTAAGCAGCATGCTACTAATGTCATAGCTTACTTGGCAAATGTTACTGGTGTCCTGAGCAAGACACAGAAGGCAGCTGCTGGGTAAGAAGGAGAAATACAAACAGAAACCTGACACACTTTAATAAAGGCTTTGCACCAGAGCTGTGCTCCTCCCAAAGTTTAAGCCACCTTCAAGGATGAAGTTATAAGGGTTTTTTTTGGTCCTGAAGGTGGTTTGAGGCAGGATCTGTTCTGGAAGGGAGGCCTGATAAGTGTCATTTTAAGATTGGGGTACAGAGAAGGCCAGGTGAAAGAGTGAAATGAGGAGTAAGGCACCTAAATAAAAATGCTGGGAGAAATAATGGTCACAGGTAGATTGGTACTGTAAGGGGGGGAATGAGAAATATGAGTATCAGAATTTTCTATAGCTATGAATAAATGGGCTGAGGAAAAAGGAAGGGAGAAAGATTGATTTTATACCTTAGAGAGGCTGACCTTTGAGGAAAGTTTTATTAAAATTCAGTATACTTTTTTCTTGGAGTTCACCTTTGCGCTGGGATTGTGCCAGTTTAATGTCAGCTCGCTCCACAGTACCTGCTGATGGATAAAAGCATGAGGGTAGGACTGTCCTAGCTGATAGCTGTCTAACTTCTTAGTTAATCAGCTTCAAATGCTCTCATTCCAAACAATGATTCATAAACAGTTTTAAAGAGACAGAAAGCTGCTTTTTCAACTGCAAGGACTGCTCTCCGTCCGATGCTCCGATGGGCATCAAAAATAAGCACTAAAGATGAAGGTCTGCTCTTTTGCCCTTTCAGTTTATGATAGATGGAGATAGCGTGAAAAGCTTCAGTAAGAAATTCCTGCACAATTTTGTGTTTAGCGTTTTCCAGGAAGACGAGAAAAATCTTTTTCCTGAGAGGGAAAATCCAGGAAAACTGTTCAGTCTTTTCCCTGAGGATACTGAATATGAAAAAAAGATACTAAATGGGGAAAAACTGAGCATGAGGAAATGACTTTTACGCAGTCAGATTAAACTGAAGGAGCAATGGAGGGCTCTGTGTACCAAAAACGCCTGAAAAACACACAAGTTCTGCTCATTCATTTCAGTTAGGGTAAAAAAAAAAGATAATCTGAGGATTACCAGGGAGCTCCCTTTGAAATGAATGGAAACTCAACTTTATTTAGGCAAAGATCCAGCCAATACTACTTTGTCTTGCTGGCCATGATGTCCTCGGAGCCACTGTTTCAAATCTGCGCCCTCTGGCTCTCCCAGGAATGGTTTGTTTTTCACTGAACAAGGATCAGATGAACCCCTCACTGCTCTCTAGTTTTGCAGAAAACAAGGTAGATACATCTTGACTGAAAGGGGGTGGAAGGATGTTTCCCACATTGTCCATTAATTGTAAAGAAGCAGTGAGAAGATGCCTGAATTTTTGCAATAAAATCCAGAACAAAATATGA